CCCAAAAATCCCTGAAAATCCCCGAAAATTTTCCCAAAATTCCCAAATTTTCCCGGAATTCCGGGATTTCCCCCCCAAACCTCGAGGATGAAGTCGGGGGGGGTCCCAGGAACCCTCAAAATCCCCAAAAAAACCCCAAAAATTCCCAAAAAAACCCCAAAAATTCCCAAAAAAAACCCAAAAATCCCTGAAAATCCCCGAAAATTTCCCCAAAATTCCCGAATTTTCCCGGAATTCCGGGATTTTCCCCCAAACCTTGAGGATGAAGTCGGGGGGGGTCCCGGGCCGCACCGTGGGCCTCAGGACCCCGTCGTGGTGGGAGTGGATCAGGGTCTCGTCCAAATCCAGCACCAGAATCTTCCTCTTCACCTGGTCTGGGGAAAAATCCGGGAATTCCGGGAAAATCCGGGAATTCGGGGGGAAATTTGGGAATTTCAGGGGAAATTTGGGGGAAAAATTGGGGTTTTTAGGGGACAATTGGAGGATTTGGGGGGAATTTGGGGGAAAAATTTGGGATTTGGGAGAAAAATCCGCGAATTTGGGGGAAATTTTGGGATTTGCGGGAAAAATTTGGGATTTGGAGGGGAAAATCCCAGAATTTGGGAGAAAAATCCGGAAATTTGGGGGAAAATTTGGGAATTTGGGTGGGAATTTGGGGATTTGGGGGGAAATTTGGGATTTACAGGAGAAAAATTGGGGTTTTTAAGGGAAAATTTGGGGATTTGGGAGAAAAATCCGGGAATTCGAGGGAAATTCCAGGGATTTGGGGTGAAAATTTTGGGATTTGGGGGGAAAAATTCGGGAAACTGGGGGAGAATTTTAGGATTTAAGAGAAAAATTGGGAGTTTGGGGCGAAAATTTGGGAATTTGAGGCAAAATTTGGGGGTTTGGGAGCAGAATTTGGGGACTTTTCCCCACTGGATTTGGGATTTTCCTCCCAATTTTGGGATTTTTCCCCCAAAAATTCCAATTTTCCCCCCAAAATTCGGGATTTTTTCGCCCAATTTGGTTTTTTCCCCTGGATTTTGGGATTTTTCTGGGATTTTGGGAATTTTTTCCCAGATTTTGAGATTTTTATTCCCAGATTTTGGGATATTTTTCCTCCAGATTTTAGGATTTTTCTCAAATTTTGTGATTTTTTCCCAGATTTTGGGATTTTTCTGGGATTTTGGGATTTTTCCCCCCTGGATTTTGGGATTTTTCCGGGATTTTGGGATTTTTCCCCCCTGGATTTTGGAATTTTCCTGGATTTTGGGATTTTCCCTGGATTTTGGGATTTTTCCTGGATTTTGGGATTTTTCCCAAATTTTGGGATTTTTCCCCCTGGATTTTGGGATTTTTCCGGGATTTTGGGATTTTCCCCCCTGGATTTTGGGATTTTCCCAGATTTTGGGATTTTCCTGGATTTTAGGATATTTTTCCCCAGATTCTGGGATTTTTCCCTCCTGGATTTTGGGATTTTTCTGGGATTTTGGGATTTTTCCCCCCGGAATTTTGGGATTTTCCCGGGATTTTGGGATTTTCCCGGGATTTGGGGATTTTCCCGGGATTTTGGGACTCACTCAGGCGGTTCCTGGAGATGGGAGACAGGGGCAGGACGTCGTAGCGCACGGTCTGGTACTGGATCACCTGGAAACCCCAAATTCCGCTTTGGGACAGCCCCAAAATTCCCAAAATTCCCAAAATTCCCAAAAATCCCCCCCAAAAAACAAAAAAAAACCCAAAAATTTTGGAGCTTTTCGGGGAAAGAAATTCAAAATTCGCCTCAATTTGCCCCCAAAATTCCCAAAAATCTTCCCCAAATCCACAAAAATCCTCCTCAATTTCCTCAAATTCTTCCCAAATCCTCCCAGAATTCCCAAAATTCCAAAATTCCCCCTCAAAAACCAAAAAAAAAAAATGGGAATTTTGGAGAATTTTGGGGGAAAAAACCCAAAATTCCCCACAAAATTCCCCAAAAAATCCTCCCGGGATTCCCAAAATTCCCAAAAAATCTCTTCAATTTCCTCAAATCCTCCCCAAAATTCCCAAAATTCTTCCCAAAAAATCCACAAAAATCCCCAAAACCCGGTGAAAACTCCCAGAAAATTTCCAAAATTCCTCCCCAAACTCCCACGGGAATTCCCGAATTCCCTCCTGACGCCATTCCCGGTCATTCCCGCTCCATTCCCGATATTCCCGCTCCATTCCCGATATTCCTGCTCCATTCCCGGTTTTTCCCGCTCCATTCCCGGTTTTTCCCGCTCCATTCCCGATATTCCCACTCCATTCCCGGTTTTTCCCGCTCCATTCCCGGTTTTTCCCGGGCCATTCCCGATATTCCCGCTCCATTCCCGGTTTTTCCCGCTCCATTCCCGGTTTTTCCCGCTCCATTCCCGATATTCCTGCTCCATTCCCGGTTTTTCCCGCTCCATTCCCGGTTTTTCCCGGGCCATTCCCGATATTCCCGCTCCATTCCCGGTTTTTCCCGCTCCATTCCCGATATTCCCACTCCATTCCCGGTTTTTCCCGCTCCATTCCCGGTTTTTCCCGGGCCATTCCCGATATTCCCGCTCCATTCCCGGTTTTTCCCGCTCCATTCCCGGTTTTTCCCGCTCCATTCCCGATATTCCTGCTCCATTCCCGGTTTTTCCCGCTCCATTCCCGGTTTTTCCCGCTCCATTCCCGGTTATTCCCGGTTTTTCCCGCTCCATTCCCGGTTTTTCCCGAGCCATTCCCGGTATTTTCGCTCCATTCCCATGACATTCCCGGTTTTTCCCGGGTCATTCCTGGTCATTCCCGGTTTTTCCCGCTCCATTCCCGATATTCCCGCTCCATTCCCGGTTTTTCCCGCTCCATTCCCGGTTTTTCCCGAGCCATTCCCGGTATTTTCGCTCCATTCCCATGACATTCCCGGTTTTTCCCGGGTCATTCCCGGTTATTCCCGGTTTTTCCCGCTCCATTCCCGGGTCATTCCCGGTGTTTTTCCCGGTATTTTTCCCGCTGGAACAGCCGGTTTAATTCCCGTTAATTCCCGGTGCCCTCAGCAACCCCAGGGCCCCATTCCCGTTAATTCCCGTTAATTCCCCTTAATTCCCGTTAATTCCCGTTAATTCCCCTTAATTCCCGTTAATTCCCCTTAATTCCCCTTAATTCCCGTTAATTCCCGTTAATTAATTCCCGTTAACTCCCGTTAATTCCCGTTAATTCCCGTTAGTTCCCGTTAATTCCCGTTAACTCCCGTTATCCCGCAGCCCATTCCCGCTGTTCCCGCTGGAATTCCCGGTAATTCCCGTTATTCCCATTCCCGTTAATTCCCGCTGGAGTTCCCGGTGTTAATTCCCGTTAATTCCCGGTACAATTCCCGTTAATTCCCGCTACAATTCCCGTTAATTCCCGGTCCAATTCCCGTTAATTCCCGCTCCAATTCCCGTTAATTCCCGGATCCCATTCCCGTTAATTCCCGGATCCCATTCCCGTTAATTCC